TATCTTTTGTCATTTCTGTTATTGCATCGGTTATTGCATTGGTCGTTCAACTGTTCTATTATTCTTTTGTGGGGTCTTACCGTGTGCCATGCATACTGACGTACACCTATTTTTTCTGGTGTACGTCAGATTTAGAGAACAGAAAGGTCCAGTATGGAGACGCCTCGCAGTCAGAGTGTATTCCAGATGGAGCAGAAGAGCAAGCTGGAGTCTAGTCTTTTCTTTATGTAGTTGTCGAGAGATATTAGATTTCTTATGTAGTATTTTCTCTTTTAGTCTTCGAGGGATTTAGTTATTTCATAGTACTTTTTTTATACTGTTGAACTATGTATTTTTATATTTTGTTGGAGTGTTTTGTAATAAGGGCATGTTTGACCCGAACCTTGTGTCTCGGATGTTATTCCATTTGTGATATGATTTTTTTATTAAGTTATTTATTATATTCTTGTTAATTATGATCAGGGACATGTGACTTTACATTATATATTACTTGATGTTTAGCGTATTAGGTTGAGAAGAAATGGTTTATTATATATTCTCCCCAATCTAATACGCCGCGGGCTTGTTCACGTTCCGATTTCCTAATATTTTAGAAAGCGGGGCGTGACATCACTTCTCATGTTTGGTTCTTTCGGAGAGATTCCATCTCCTCCTCCATTGCCGCCAACTAACTCTCGCTATCTCTATCTCGAATAGCTTCCTTGAAGGAGACCGGCTCATCATCCTCCACCGAGAGTGCGTATTCAACCAAATTCACCTACTCATAGTGCTTTTCAGCCCCCAGCTTCTGTACCTGCTTGTATGCTCGTCTTGACCTGTGAAAGCCAAATTATCATCGAGCTGCTGTTGTTGCAGTGCCTATGTATTTTCTTGCTGAACCTCCTCTTGTTCAAGCTCATCATCTTCATGATCCTTCTCTTGAACACGACTAGAACTTGGTTAGTCTTTAGGTTCTATCTCAATAACCTGAGATTTTGAAGTCCCAACAGTCCCAAAACCATCACCCTTAGGCACCCTAGCAATCATAGATCTCTCATCAAAAGAAATATCCCTGCTAATTGCGAACTTCAAATCTTCTGTAAACCAAAGGTGATAGTTTTTTACACCCTTTGCATACCCTAAGAATATAACCTTCTTAGCATTCGCGTCAAACTTTTTCTCATTGACGTGATAATAGACGGTACACCCGAAAATCCGAAAACTCTCATAATCTGAATGCTCCCCTGATCACACCCTAAATGGTGTATCACCATCCAGTGTAGAATGTGAAGACCGATTCACTATGTAGCAAGCTGTAGCAATCGACTCTGCTCACCATTTTTTGTCCAAACTCACTGCTATGATCGCATACTCACTGCTTTTTCCCGCGGTGTACGGTTCAGCCTCTCTACGATCCCATTCTGTTGTGGTGTTGATCTAACTGTCCAGTGCCTAGCAATACCCTCCTGATCACAGAACTCCTTGAATGTACCATCTGTATACTCTGTACCGTTGTCAGATCTCAGTGTCTTCAATTTCTTTCATGTTCTGTTCTCAACCATCGCCTTCCACTTCTTGAATGTCTCAAATGCCTCATTCTTATGCATCAGAAAATAAATCCAAGCATACCTAGAATGATCGTCTATGAACGAGACAATATCTGGAGTCACCCTTGGAAGTTATCTGAGCCGGACCCCAAACATCCGTGTGCACATAATCTAGTATCCCTCTGTTCTTGTGATTGCTTCTCAAAAATTGAACCATGTACGCATTCTTATACACACAATCCTCGTAAAAATCCATGCATGATTTCTTTAGATTCTTCAGCAAACCCTCTTTACCAAGCAAATCTTCTCTGACATGTGCCCAAGCCACCTATGTCATAACCATGTGTGCTCACATGGATCTCCACCACTTCCATCAGTTCCAACTGTTGCATTCCCTATCACCGTCGTATCCGAGAGAGTATATAGACTACCGTGACGAACACCATTCATCATTACTAGGGAACCTCGAACAACCTTCTTCACTCTGTTCTGACAACTCCATCATGCATCTTGATTTTGATATCACCTAACCCCACCGTTTTGTAAACATGGTTGTTCCCCATCAGTACAGTTCCACCGTTAATGTTTCTGTAGGTAGTAAACCATTTCTTATTTGAGAACATATGGTAAGAGCAACCCGAATCAAGAATCCATTTCTCAAAGATATCTTCACCACCCGTGACGACATAGCATTCCTTCTCGCTCCCTTCCTCTGAAACGTAGCTCACCTCTTCCTTGCTATTTCTCCTCTCAGTCTTATTGTTGTTCTTCTTTCCACCTACTCTTTTGTTAGGACAGTCAACTTTAAAATGCCCTAGCTCACCGTATTTGAAACACGCCCTTCCCGCAAGAGGTCTCAATTTCGATCTAGACTTTCCTCCCTTGTCTTTTCCTTGCTCATTACCCCTTCCTCTAGCAAATACTCCCTGAGCTTGCTCCTTGTTATCACTAGTGGTCATGTCACTAGTTGTAATTTTCTGAAGATCATCCGTCAGAAGCGTCGTTCTAATCTCATTCATCGTCAAATTGTCTCCTACAAGCATCAATATTTGTATCAGGTTCTCATAAGACTTCGATAAAGAAAAAAAGTAGCAAAAGTGATTGATCATCATCGTCTACTGTCACATCAATATCCTTCAAATCCGATATGATCCTATCGAACTTCTTGATATACTCCCGGATTGACGAGTCTTCCACCATTTTACAAGTATATAATTTGGATTTCAAGTAGATCCGATTTGTTAGACTCTTCGTCATGAAGGTACTCTTTAACTTTGACCACACGTTCACAGTCGTTTCCTCTCCATCTACCAAGAAAGCAACATCCCTCTCAAGGCATAGGATAATCGACGCTCGTGCTTCGAGATCTAACTCTTCCCAATTCTCATCGGACATATCTTTGTGCTTCTTCTCTTTTTTCCTACCAAAGTCTTGTGTAATTTCTACGAAATTAGCGAATTTTTCATCTGTATCCTCCAATAGGAAAAAAATATTCTTCCCATTGAATTATTTAATCTCGTACTTTCCAACTTTAACTGTTTTACTTATAGACATCATTCTCCGCTTGTATTATTAAACCGTTTCTCTAAGGAATTTTAACAAATACCTTGTGTTTACCACACAATAATCAAGCATCACTTCAGATCAGAAAATTTACTACCTCCGATCTGAATAAATGGCTCTAATACCAATTGTTGGGCGCAGAGTCACATCCTCACGTCACGGAAGCGATATCACCTGAGATAAAGTTCTGACTTTTGTTTTCACAAAAACTCAAGTCAACCTCTATATTCTCGTTTCACAAAAAAACAAGAACAGAAGTAAAATATCTCAACAAAGTGAGATATACACTCTCCCTCTCAGCAGTTCTAGGACTGAATGTCGAGGGAACCTACAAGCAATAGCTAACACACAGTAAAGACACGTGATTTACATAGTTCGGCAAACTTGTCTACGTCTACGGAAAGGGTAAGGGGGGATTTTACTATGAGGAGAATAACAACTTCCACTTATACAACTCACAAGCTCTCTCTCTGATTTTTCTCTCTTCAAAAATCTCTCAAAATTCTCACACCCTTTTTCTTTTCTTCCTAGCAACTTCTCTCTTCCTCATCTTTCCTATTTATAGGCAAAGAAGAGGAGAAAGAGAGTATGGATGAGCATGGAGGAAGCATGGGTGAACATGGGGGGAGCATGGGGGGTTCCACCATCTCGTGTCCCCCATCTCACGTTCACATTGTTGTTGGCCAACTCCCTGAGATACTATCATTTTAAATCCTAAAGGATGACAATATCACATCTTGAATTTCATACACCAACCAGGTTCTAATCTGTTACAGGTGTGCATATCTGCACTCATTTGACTGTCTAGCACTTGACACTCCATACTTATCTGGACAGTAATCTACTGTACAAACATGTGTAACAAGTCTACTGTACAAACATGTGTAACAAGTACATACAGAATGAGCTGGATATTAAAACGCAGTCGGCTATATGTTCACATTAAACTACAACCTCTAACTATTCCGAATCATCATTTGAAATAATAATTAAGCAAAGCTGAATACTTATTAAACCTTATAAATGAAAAAAAATTCCAACACAATTCTTAATCCTCATTGTTTATTCTCTTGCTTCCACTTATCTATTGCAAAGCTAGAATAATGGTTTATCGTTTTTCAAGGAATACTAATGAAGGGAAAATAACAATCGCTTTTGGACAAAATGAAAAATAATGAGAAGGATTTTGGTCATTTTTATGTAAAATGAAAATTCCAACCTTGCTATATATTTTAATTTATCAAATGACAACATTCTTCAAAATATGTCATTTAAAAAACAGAAAGTGATCCTGTTAACGAACATATAGTTCATGTGACTTGTTATGGGCAAACTAGTTGGTGGTTTCTCGAGAAAAGGAAAAAGTAACTAATAAAGAGTAAAAGCTTTCTCCATTCTGACGTAAATCCAGTTTCCAAAGAATCCAAACCTGCTATACACACTTACGCCTCGTTTGGTACGCGGGAATGGACTCAAATGAGAATGGAATGGAAGAAGAAATGAAATGAAATTAATGTGAGAATGGAATGGTCATTCCCATTCTCACGTTTGGGTGTAATTTATAAAATGAAATGAGAATGAACGTATTTTAAATTGTATATTTTATTGATTCCCACTTAAGTGGGAATGCTCATTCCCTATCACTTCATTGGGAATGCTTATTCCCACGTAAAGTGGGAATTGATGAGAAGTGGGAATGAGCATTCTAACTTCAAAAAAGAGGATGCGTTTGGTAGAAAGGAATGAGAAGTGAGAATGATCATTCCATTCCACCTCATTCCCTCGTACCAAACGATGCCTTAGGTATCAAATAATAACATTATTAAATAAACTGTTGTCTGGAGAACATTAGCAGAGTTCTTAGCAAGCAAAGAGTTTCTGTTACTATGCTAAGGGCCATAAAAAACTTACCGGTAAAGCATGAAGGACAAAAAGTGCATGCCCAAGGAAAATAGCATCCAAGCTGGTGGGCCTGTGAGAACACAAACAAAATCAATTAAAAACACACTAAAGAATTGAAGCTAAAGTTCTAAAATGGGTAAGAATCAAAATTATATCAAATTTTCTCGAACCATGAAAAATAAGCTTCTATATCAAGTCAATTTATTCAGTGGTTACCTGTTATCAAAGAAAAAGGTCTGTTCTCCCAATCTCTGAGATAAAGCCTCATATGCTGTAGCCGCCTTTCGGTATATCTGCCAATTGAAAATATAAAATTCACTTGAGTTCTAAACTAAAACTGGCTAAATAACTTCGCAAATGAATGAGAGGTAAAATAGAAAAATTGAAATAGGAATCAGAGAGAAGGTTAATTATTCCATAAAAAGACTAGTACCACATCCAATCATCATTAAACTAGAAGATAGAAAAGTAAGTCATCATACAAGCACCTAAAAACTTCACCTAAAAACTTGTCTAGAAAAACTTATGCCTCTTGAAGCTTTATAGTGCCATCCTTTAAATTGTTTCCCATGATTAATTTAACACAACAAAATTTACCTCTTCTTCTTTTTCCGTGGCATTGAGATCCGTAATCCCAAGTTGCTGCCTCACAGTTCGAGTTTGTTTCCAATGAAGAACTTTTGCAACAGGCCATGAAAGGTCGGAGAAATATATTTTATAGGCACCATTTCCATTAGAAGCGACCCATAGTTCATATTTTGCTGCCTCGGATAGCCAGGCGCCAACCAATGCCTTTGTAGCCAACCAGTCTGGAGAACAGCCGCCTGAGAGTCCTGAGTCCAAATTGACAATGTTCTCTGCTTTCAGACATTCAATAACACCTCCCTTCTCATTGTTGTATAGAACACAATCACCATATTCGACATATGGTATGTGATCTGCAAAATAAGTGGGGAAAAAATCAGAGAAGCAAAAGAGAAGAATGGCAGAAAATGTCTCTATTAATTAAACTGATTAAGGTTATAATCATTGATTGATGGACTCAAAAAAACATGTAATCTTCCAACCAACTGCTACAGATACAGTTAGTTACTAACTAATCTACTTCTTATAAACTAAAAGAGAACAACAAAAAAATCTGATGAATAGTAAAATAACTGCCTCTATCGCTAATTCTAATCAGCCTATCCCAACCCACGTTCTCCTTGAAAATAAATCTTCGCTTCTTTCTTTAACCGTACACTTTCTTCAAAATCTCCACGTTCTCTCTCTTCCTCTCTCAATATTTCTTCAATATTTCTTTTCTCTCTTCATTCTCTCCTTTGTCTGAATCCCAACTGATCGATTGATCGATCGATGCCGATCGCGTTGGAGCGATTATTTTCTTGCCATTTGATGCGAATCTAGCCCTTTACAAAGTTTAATCACAAAGATTGTGGTAGATTTTCTTACTAAATCTTCAAAATTTTGATTCCGATGTTGGGGACTTTGATTCCGACGAGTTCGAGGGTTTTCGATCCAGAATCGTACGGAGGAGAAGAGCTACCATCGCCGGAGATCGATGAGAAGGAACGTCGTGGTTCTAGCCGAGGGGAACTTCACTGAGTTCGTCGAGAAGAATCAGCACGTGATGGTGGAGTTCTATGCTCCTTGGTGCGGTCACTGCCAGGCTTTGGCGCCTGAGTACGCTGCAGTGGCGACGGAGCTCAAGGATGAGGACGTGGCTCTGGCGAAGGTGGACGCGATGGAGTAGAACGACTTTGGTTTTCGTTGTGGATGGGGTTCACAAGCCTTATCCAGGCCACATGACTAAGTGAGGACCTCAGATCTCATCTTTTTATTTCTCGATCTACTTCAGCCTGTGATTTCTATTGTTCAGTTTGAAGTTTTTTGTCACTACTTTTTGCAAATTGTCTCTTGATATTGACTCTAAGTGTTGGCCAGTAAGTAGGGAATTTATACTTTGTAGTAGCAGTACTACGGCTTCAGGGTATCTTTCTTACTTGATAAAAATATTAAGTGCATAAACTAATGGAACTAAATCTTAATGCAGGAGCTGGGCATCTAGCCTTCGATAAAGAAACACAAATTTGGACACATAAGATCATTTGTATTTGTGTAAGGTAAAATCAATTTCCCTTGGGAATTGTAATATACATGTTAAATTTTACTGTGTTTTGTTGTACTAATAAGCAAATAAAGACTTTAATGTTGACTATTTAATCACAAATTTACACATCAGGCTTTGTTTTGTTACTACGTATAACTCATGTTAATGAATGTTATTGTTAGAAAAACAAACATAATGATATTTGTACAAATCAAGTACATTTTCTTTATAATTGTCATTACTATTTTCATGTTGTGTATATAAATTTAAATTGAGTGTTATTGAATTATTTACTATGTCAATTCTTATAGTTATAATGACAACTCAAAAATGAAAGTTCTTGATATTTGGGCCCATCTTTAACATCGACAATTTAAAATCTATCACATTCTGACAAAGGAAATGGATGAAGTTAAATTGAAGATAACACTTGAAATAGTTTGTGAAATCTGATATTATTTTACTTCATCATACCAAAGAGTAAATTTAAGATGGAGGAGTTCACAGTAGATCAATAAAATAATAGCTTGATACCCAAATAACGGGGGCCAAACAACTACGCAAACAGGTAGTACACATGGTACGTATGATTTATTTAAGATCTATTTTAGTGTTGTTAAGAAATTCATATGTTTTAGACTTGCACTCTAACTATAATCTAATTTAATAGCACAACGTGATCCTGAAAAAATCTTATCTTTACGATAATTAAAATGAAAGTTAAGAAATTGTGAATTATATAGATTGGATTATGGATTGCATCAACTGAAATCTGCATGCTTCGAGAAGTCTAATGAGTCTGATTTACCCGATGGCTATAGGATGAAAATGTATAAGAGCAAGAGAATAAAAGAAAGCATCAGCAACATAAACGTTGACAGTACATGTGACAGAACTAGCCCAATAATAAAAAGGTATGAATCTTCTTTATTCATTTTTTTGAATTAGCATTTGTTATATCATGTTGTTATTATGCTTTTAATGAAGAAATTGTTGACAATTGCAGCTTATCAGAATGATATACAGAACTTTGACAAACCAACTATCATTTGTAAGTATTGTCACAATACAATGTGGTATGAAGAAGGCACGGAGAAATCTTGGAATCCAAAGAAACATTCTTTTTCTATATGTTGCAAGAGGGGAGGATTGAAGTTTCCTCTTCTTAAAGAGTCTCCAACATTTCTAAAAGACTTTATATCTAAAGCATAATACTTTATTTTATTAACATGTTAAGTAGTTGAAGAAAATCTTTTGGAAACCGTGCTTTGCACAGGTCTAAATACTAGTAATTAATAAAAGAGAAAAAGTAAAAGAGATAGATACCCGTGCCACATTCTCAAATCTAAAATTTATTCTCTGATTTAAGAACCGTTTCCTTTATGGCCAAGCTGGTCTAGATTTTTATCTATCTATATGACAACAAGTATCACTCTACTGGTTCAGTAACCTATTTAGAATTCTGATTTCCTCTGAGTAGCAAAGAATTTGATTAAGAAATAACCAAAGAACTGAAAAGGGAAAGAAAAAAAAGCAGGGAGGAGGGTTTCTTCAGTTTTATCAAGTTTTATCTACTGGTTCAGTTTTGCAGCATAGATCATAATAGGCCATTACTTCAAGAACATCCTAACTAGCCTCTTTTAGAGACCAAATAGAACTTATCCCTAAAACACAAATCATTAATTCAGTCAATGTAGGACTAAATGGGGCCTAATTAACCACCGCAAATCATTAATCCAGTTCAAAACGAATATCGTAGCTCATTTGCAACTAGAAAAATGGGGTGAACACAAATCTCCTCATAGACTCCCCCATTTAATCAATATGGGGCTAAATTATGAACCCTAGCAATCCCTTGCAAAAAAAGTTTCATTTATTGCTTAAACCTCATAACTAAAAAACTAAAAACCCCAAAACCCTAATTCAAAAACAACCCACCCTCCCCCCCAAAAAAAATCACTAAAGTCAACAAGAATCATCAACCCAAATATAAAAATTCAAACCAAACGATTAAAAGTACACATCAGCAGCATGCATTATCGAATTATTAAAACTGGGTTTGTAAAATATTACCCGAATCAGGGTTCTTGAGATCGAAATCGATGCTGAAACAAGAGTTTGCGAGTCTGAGGTAGAGATAGACGGAGAGGCAATCAGGGCAAGCTGTGGGGAGCCCGAAGCATCCCTTTCGAGCTACGAGGACGAGCCTCTCTCCTTCACTCATCTCTCTTCTCTCTCTCTAGTTTCTCTCTCTAGTCTGATGAGAGAGAAAGAGCGTAAATTTCTTGAGGAAGAAGAAGGAGATGGAGAAGGCTAATTAGATCGGGTTGGGTCCAATTAGGCCATCAGTTTACCCGAACCGTTATTTGAGAAGGTGGTGGTACATGCTAGGATAGCAAAAGGGTACGGATACTAACAGATATATCCGTATTCATGTCCAAGTAAATGTTGTACAATTACAGTTATTTTTTTTTTTTTTATATGATATGAATATATGGATATGGATATAGGTAAAATATCATAACGTGGATAGCAGTTATTGTTCGCAGATGTTTTTACTTAAGAATAGTCTTCACTTTTTCACTTTCAATATGGGGAAAAAATTAAACACATAAAATTCTATGTCACACTATTTACTATTTTCATATTCAGTGATAATTCAATAAAACTCCTTGGTCCTTCTAAGCAAAGACATGATGAATTTTTCTCTTTCATACTGCTCCCATATTTTTCACTAATTTCTTCTACTACCGCATCAAGGTAGACAGAGCACTCCTTTGATTTTTTTTTTTTTTTTTTTTTGTTCTAACCTTGTGTATAGGAGACTATACATCGCGGTCGATCGGTCCGGTCAACCGCGATGGATCGCGGTCGACCGGTCCGGTCGACCGCCAAAGCGGGTTGAGTCTGGGTCTGTTTTCCAGACCCGTTTCGTTTGGGTTTTCTATAAATACCCAAACTTGGTTTTAGGGTTTGTAAGCAAGGGGTTTTAGCAGCCATTGAGGGTGAGTTATTGGGCTTCTATTGTTGGAGCAATTGGGAGAGATCAAGAGTGATTTATTGAGGGTTTTTGGTGAGAGATTGTAACCCTAGTTTGTTCCTCTTGATTTCTAATAGTGAAAACTCCCCCCTCCTTGCCCCGTGGACGTAGGCATCTTGCCGAACCACGTAAAACTGGTGTTAGTGATTGTTTGTGCTTGTTGGTGTGTTGGTTTATCTTTTCTTGGCGATTGGTTTGGATTCTCGAGGCGCAACAAGTGGTATCAGAGCTTCGGGCAACGCTTGGACTTTTTGGAGGTATAGATCAGTTGGGAAGTTCATCTAGAGCTTCGATTGGTGATAAAGGTGGGATCTTTGTGGTAAAGTTTCTATCTTTTTCAAGTTGGATCTATTTTCTTGTTTGTTCCGCAATTGTTTTGGTGCTTTGAGATTATGGCCGGAAAGGATAAACATGGGGAGGGTTCTTCTAGTGTGAGAGTCATCCAAAGTTTGAATATACATTCTATAAAAATAGATGTGGAAAAGTTCAACGGCACAAATAATTTTGGACTTTGGAGATGCAAAGTCATGGATGCGCTAAATGCGCAAAATTTGGAAGATACGTTGGAGTTGGACGGGAAACCGGACAACATGAATGAAAATGTTTGGAATAAAATGAACAGAACGGCGTGTGGTGTGATTAGGTCTTGCCTTATCCAAGATCTAAAATATGATGTGATGAATGAAACTTCGGCAAAGAAGATCTGGGAGGTCCTAGAGGGCAAATATTTGACAAAGAGCGTTGAAAATCGTTTGCATTTGAAGAGGAGGCTTTATCGCTTCCAATTGAAGAAGGGGACATCCATTAGTGATCACATGAACCACTACACGAAGCTACTTGCAGATTTGGCGAATGTAGATGTCATTATTGAAGACGAGGACAATGCATTATTGTTATTGAGTTCCTTGCTCGACGAGGAATATAAGACATTCGTCCTCACTCTTATTAATGGGAAGGTATCTCTTTCGTATAGTGAGGTCACTGCAGCCCTTGTGAATTATCAACTTCGAAAGAAGGACAAGGAGACTTCCATCGAGCCGGTTGCGGGGGCATTGGTTGCAAGAGCTAAAAGTCCAAACCGTGGAAGAAGGTCGTAGTCTAGAGGGGGGCATCCTGCAGTTGGTAGGAATCAGTGTGCCTTTTGTAGAGAGGATGGACATTGGAAAGCCGAATGCCCAAAATTACAAGCCGTGAAGAATAAAGGAAAAGCTATTCAAGCTTCAGAGGTAAATGTTGCCAAGGCTAATGGCGATGTTTCAGATTCAGATTCTTCGGGCTATTCGTGCCCAGCTCTTCCGTCAGTTGATGTTGCCGACTCCACCGAGTGGATGTTGGATTCTGGTGCTACTTACCACATATGCCCTAGAAGGGATTGGTTCTCCAGCTTTCAGGAGTTGGAAAGAGGGGATGCTGTTCTCATGGGTAATGATCACAGTTGCCCTATTGGTGGTATTGGTACCGTTCGGATTCGGATGAGTGACGGGATGATCCGGGAGTTGGCTGATGTGAGGTTCGTTCCTCAACTGAGGAAGAACATCATTTCACTTGGGGTATTGGAGGCATCAGGCTATAGGGTGATCTTGGCGGATTCTCGCTTGAAGGTCACATCGGGGTCCATGATCGTGATGAAGGGAGTCAGGCGGAGTAACTTGTATTATCTACTTGGGAGCACGGTAGTTGATAGGGCGCTGACTACTTCTATGGCTAGACTGTGGCATTGTTTGGTGCTGGGATATATTGTTGGTTATACCGTGCACAGATTGTTGAGGAGTGCTATGACCTGCAGATTGAAGTCATGTGAGCACATTGGTATGAGCAAGAAGACCGAGGTGGAGTTCAGCACTTCTATCCATCGATCGAGAGGTCTTATTGGAGGTGTTCAGTCAGGCATTTGGGGGCTTTCCGAGGAGGCATCATCGGGAGGTAATCGTTATTTTGTTTCCTATGTTGGGGATTGTACTAGGCATATTTGGGTTGCAACCAAGTCCCGTTGGTATAAAGACCTAGTAGTCCGCAACAGTTGGAGGAGGTGTATGGGCAGAAAGGTTACCAGTCGTACTTATTCTAGTAGGAGTCCTTTCTTGCATTGGTGCCGAGCTCACGGCAGTTGGAGACACTTCAGAGGGAAGGAGACAGTGGGGCGACGTGATGAGATGGCGGATTTAGTGAGCCGTTCCTTTCTGGAGGAGGATCGGTATTGGTTGTCGAGCAGTGGATCTGGTATTCAGGCTTCGACAGGTTTGGGTCATCTTATGTGGTTGCCGACTGCTGCGTGTAGAGTTGTTAGATCTGGTGGAGCTGTTTCAGATTTTGGTCGGCGTCGGATATTTGCCTACCCAGCACTTGGTCACATCGCTGATGTGAGATTGGATCCGATTGCGCATTTAGGATTCAGAGGCTCGTTCGGCTATCAGTGGGGAGCTTCTGAGTTTGGTCTGAGCAGGTTTGACTGTTTTCAGATTGGGGTCGTTTATGATGCTATCAGCCGCAGGTTGGATTGAGAGCCTTTGGAGGCCATTGGGTGAACTACGTGAAGGCTTGATTCCTTGGAGAGGATACGTAGGCAGTCAGTTTTCTGATGCAGCCGATTTGGTGAGCGACATCGACATTTGGGGTGAGTGTTCGCACTCCCATTTGGGTCTTAGCAAGTAAGACATTTGGTGTAGTCGGTGTAGGCTCAGTTCGATTTGGTGAGTAGACACAGTTGGTTTGGGGTTGAGGGTTCGTACTCTCGTTTGGGTCTCGACGCGCTGTGGATGGAGTCCGTTGTCATGAGTCCGTTGCCATGACGTACTGGATGCAGCAGTTGAGGCATTGGTTTGATCGGTGTCGGTCGACCGACACAGTCGACCGAAGATGGTAGCGGTCGACCGACGCGGTCGACCGCCGAACTCTCTGGATTCTTGGAGCTGTTCTGGATGGAGGGCGGTCGACCGGGCCGGTCGACCGCCGAAGCGGGTTGAGTCTGGGTCTGTTTTCCAGACCCGTTTCGTTTGGGTTTCCTATAAATACCCAAAGGGGTGTTTCTAGGGTTTGGAGGCTGAAGTTTGAGATCTGAAGGGAGAGTTTTATTGGGCTTCTATTGTTGGAGTAATTGGTGAGATCAAGAGTGACTTGTTGTGGGTTTTGGGTGAGAGATTTGTAACCCTAATTGTATCCTCTTGTTTCTAATAGTGAAAACTCCCCTCTCCTTGCCCCGTGGACGTAGGCATCTTGCCGAACCACGTAAAACTGGTGTTAGTGATTGTTTGTGCTTGTTGGTGTGTTGGTTTATCTTTTCTTGGCGATTGGTTTGGATTCTCGAGGCGCAACACTAAATTCTTTATTAAGTAAAAGAAATTAACACATACTACACCTTTAGCAATATTAACATTTATTTTCTCTCTTTCCTATGTTAAGATATAAAAATTCTCATTGCTAATTATATGCATGTGTTATAAGATGTATCCTTATACATATATGTTTTAATATATGCGGGTATAGTAAGTATCATTATTTGAGTCACCATGTTCTAATAGAATGTGTACTCCCTAGACAACACAAGATTCCTTACTCTTGACTTTCTTTCATTAAATGAGAAAATACTTGAGTTCTAATTCTCATCAGTCATCACATAATAAGACAAAGTGGTAATTTGGCAATCACTTCACTATAAATTTCAATTTACACTATAACACTTGGAGATAATAGGATAATATGCAGGATGGAGACAAATTATGTAAATGCCCCCCCCCCCCCAAAAAAAAAAAAGTTTTACATTAGTGATAATATTGTCATAATGGGGCGTGAAGCCCAAACCTGCAGGCGAGCTTCTCCAGGCGAGGATGAAGCTCCAGGCAGAAATCTCGTCAGCCGGCTGCAGACGCGAGCCTCGAGATCCAGGCGAGGTCTCGACGAAGAGTTGCAGGCGAGTTCTCGTGCTGGCGACTTCTCGTGGCTGACGACTTCTCGTGCAGGCGAATTCTTCGCAGCTGCAGGCGAGATTGACTCATAGGCGGGCTCGTAGCTAGCAGGCGGGGTCGAGGCGCTCGTGACAGGCAAGCTCGTGGAGGATTTCTAGGCTGTCGATAGCCTGTCGACAGCTCATCTAGGGTTTCCCTATAAAAGGGAAACCCTAGGGCCGAAACCAGTGATCTCCCCTTTTCTCTCTCGTGATCTCAACCTCCTGGCGGCGGACTCAAAAACACAGCAGTGTTTTTCTTCCTCTTCTCCTCTCGTGATTTTCCAGCTCACAGTTTGTTGAGGGGAATTTATTGTGGGAATATTCTCTATTAAAAGGGGTATTTAGAAGAGGGAAATTGTACT